AGTGTCGGGTATCACGTTGGACAGTAGATATTTCTGCGAGTGGACCTTCAAAACTGAGTGTTGTGTAGGTTTGTGAGAATGGGAACACGATCTGATTATCTACCGTAGTAATAATGTAACACTTTCAATCTGGGATTTTTATTTAACACAGCTGGATGAATATCTGTGCTTATTAATCTCTCGTTCACAAAGCAATCCCCATAGCAACGGTACTGAGAAGTCGTCACTTCCTGTCTATGTCTTTGTGTGACATACTAAATGTTCTTTGTTTATGGATGGGGTAGCAAACCCATACAGTGGCCCCAATCAAAAGTGGTGGAATAATTAACCCTAATTGAAGGTGTCATTGAGTCTATAAAAAGGGGTGGAATTCAAGCTACGTGGCCGAGACTACGTTGAAGATTAACTCTCCACAGTTTGAGACGTCTGTCTTAGTTGGTGTTAAGATACTGCAGGGACTGGTGATGGCGGGAAACTACAGTAGGAATAATAAAGGAATAATACTCCGTGTGACAACATATCGCAGGCTGATACGTCGGCCTTCGCGTGAAAAGACTGTAACAGGTTCCAGTTTAGTAACAGGTCACACAAACACATTAGCATAGGCGCATTTTTTTTTCTTTATGTTGGGTTATTTTTTGCATATTTATGGTCCGAATGCGAATTATAATCATTTTAGGTAGCGCATTTGCAACAGAGACAAGACACTATTCACTTTATCCCTTCATTTGTATTTTTACGCCAATAAATGAGGTTAGTTTGACCGTAACAATTATATTTTTTTCTGTTCTATGCGTTCTCACCGCATGACAACTTCGTTCTAAAATCAAGAGGTATTGTGACGGGTTTCTATGTACTCTTGTGTTCAATGAACATCCGTCCTCTGGATATCAGATATTCATTCGTTATGACTTTAGTTTCTGACTTGGTTCTAAGAACGCTCACAAGTTGGAATATCTGCATAATTTGACATTAAGTGCGCCCTGGTACCCTCTCAGTTTATTAAAATTAATGTAGTAACCTTTTGGCAGTACATATTTTTAAACAAGCAAAGGTTATAGGTCTCATTGACGTACCAACAGCTGACGTTTAGTATACTGATAAGTGAATCAAATGACACTGATGATATATATAGATATATATATATATATAGGAAACAAAATACAATATGACTATAGTGACATGTATGACTATAATGACGTCACTCATTTCTACTTTAAAAATGCTTGCCGACTAACCTCTCATATATATATAACACAACATCTGTTACGCTGTCTGTTTGAATTATTTTTAATAACACAATTTCTGTGCGCCTGACTAGATACCCATGCGTGTGTAGCCTTCGGATGTATATTGAAACGATGTTGTTGCCCTGGAAGGTCCATGCATTGCTGGCTTATTTTCTTCTTAGTGTGGCCTTAATCATTCAATTCTATGGTCGAGGGCGTCTTTCTGCCACGAATAACGAGTTATATACAAGGAACATTGGTCACTACAACAGGGATTTGGAAACCAGTTCTGTAAGTGTTTTGATCACTACCAGGCGTGAACGCGACGAAGAGCAGTCATGCGATTGCGAGAAAAGGAAGCACACATATGGGCCATTGAACGAAAGTGCCCGGCTGCGAAGACAAAATCAACTTGAAGAATGGCATCGTTTAGAGAAGGAAACGCTGGAACCAACTGTAATGTGTCCACCCACCTCCCCTTTCAGCTTTGTAGGTGGTGGTACAACTGTGGAACCTTTGCAACGCATCAATATGGCGACAATGTTAGCGGTGGATAACGATCACTGGAATTATCATCAGCAAAATAACAAATCGAAGACGAAAATAAAAATAATATCAACAAAATCGTACGGAATTTTTGAAGTTGCGGGTGAGTTACTAAACCAGTTTTCATTAATTGGAATTGATTCGTCTTCGCTGACGATCGTGGTACGCCCGTCAACGAATGTCGATGAAATTAACGCGTTATTTGCCAGCCTCTATTACCGAAGCGTGAAATACGATATTCAAATTCGCGATATTGTGTCGATTGAGATGTTTGGTTACACCATTGAAATTCACATTCGAGTTCAACGAAAACCGTTTCCACGGTTGTATGACGTTTCCCGCGACGACCATATTAGTAAGAAAATAACAATTATAACTAAAACCTTTATGAGAGCCAGCTCTTTATTTGAACTAATTAAAAGTGTCAGGATATTTTATCCCAATATCACAATCGTTGTTGCCGATGACTCTCGTATTCCCCTGAATATAACTGATGCGTACACGAAGTATTACGTCATGCCATTTGCAGAAGGTTGGTTTGCTGGAAGAAATCTGGCATTAAGCCAAGTAAGGACAAAGTACTTTCTGTGGGTTGACGATGACTTCATTTTTAGCAAGGATACGAAATTAGAGAAATTTCTAGAAAAACTGGAGGCCAACCATGTGAATGTTGACATTGTCAGTGGTGTGGTACATGTCGAGTATTATGGCGGGCATAAATCCTATAAACAAACTAATAAAACCTACGAACGGTTTTACAAAGATGGCGGCTATTGCGTCCATCAAAAAGAAAGTAATTACGGACAATTGGATGGATTCCCACAGTGCGTAAAAACGGACAACGTCTTAAACTTCTTTATGGCAAAAACTATCCCAGCGCGACGAGTTGGTTTCGATCCCGCGCTGGAACGAGTCGGACATTTCGAATTTTTCTGGGATGGTCTTGGTCAGCTGCGCGTCATTGCCTGTGATGACGTCAGCGTACTGCATCGGCCGCGCGCGCCTGGCAAGTATTACAGCTACCGTTACGAAGAGGATTTGAACCACTCTGTTTACGAGAACAGGATGTTGTATTCAATGTTTAAAAATAACTTGAATTGTGTCAAGGGTATGTACAAATTTTAATGTAATGACAATTCAAAGCAACGCGAAAACTAATTACGTTGACTTGGCCTCATACGCTTAGTATACATTGTTACAATCAGCTCTACTAGTTCTCCTTTCATTTTTTTAACTTTGAAAAGGGAATTTCTTGTCGAGGAGCAGTTTGTGGTCAAGTTGAAACTGCTACACGCTAAATGCATTTCTTGATGACAGAGAGACGTACGATACTTCGTTGTAGAAATATACAGTTGGTTTATTATACGCTGACTTTAAGTACACAGGCAACCGGTACAAAACTAAGTCACCAAATTCACACCCTTCCTGAAATCCTGAAATCCGGTGTGGGGTATTAAACCAAGTTTAATAATTTCCTTCATGAATGAAGATGTTACGAGAAAGATAGGTGTCAGCAAGCAAGCAAGCAAAGCAAACGACAAAGCTAAAACAAAGGAAATATGAACAGCTGTGAATAAACTAGAACAATGTAAAAACAGCTGTGAAAACAAGGTTAAAATAAACTAAAAGCACTTCGCTAAGTTTCTTTTTAAATATATTTCTGTTTACAGATATATTATACATCATTTCTTGTATATGCATATGTATTAAAATTTTTTTTAGACTCCACAGATGATATAGATTTTCAGAGTTTTTTTATTCTAAATGACGAACGAGCAGACAGACTATTTGGACGATATTTCTCACACTTATTTACGTCATTTTGACGTCATGGCAGTGCCTCCTCGTTAGGAGGAATGAATTATTGAAAAGTGTATTCGGTTCAGCATTGTCATTGTCCAACTTATATAACGCCATTACAGCGACTTCTGTATTTTGGCTTTAATAACAATAGCATGGATGAATATTGGATTTTTAAATGATACAGCTGATTTAATCCTCTAAGACGTATCTTCAATGAGACGAGGTATTTCAGACTGACACAGATATGGAAATGTGGATTAAACAGGGAGTGTAATAAAGGATTTTGAGTAAGAAATATTTTCCAGTAATACATGTTCAATATTATACTCGAAGCCAAGGTTGATTTTAGACTCACAATTGTTATGCTAATTAAGGATACAGACAAGCTTCGCTATTGATAGTTTGAGCCTACATAAGCTAAACGCGTTACTTTAAAATATTAATGAAACATCAAATATTATGAGTCGCTGATCAACAAACAATACTTCATCAAGTAACAACTGACGTCATAGACAATAACAGCGCCTGCTGTTTCTATGCTTTTTTTTTTTTTAGCATTCTCTTGTGTTTGTTTACATTTTGAAAAGTGTCCAATATGTCCATGTTCCCAAAGTAATGAAATCTTCAGGAAGAAAACCTCGCCAGTTTATATTTTAATTAGGTGCTGAAACTGCAGGTGACATATTAAATAACTTTCAAATAGTTGTTTGAATTAGAAACAGGTGCAATGAATGTTTTACTGTATGCATGGGAATATGGGGAAACAGTCTTAGAATACAAAGGTTATTGAAGAGGGTGACAACAATGTGAAGCAGTTGAAAGTGGGAAAGTAGAACAACAAATGAGACAGCGGTTCTTTGAATAACTGGCTTATTTAAAAGTGCATGTGGCGCACCTTGTTGTCAAAAGAGTACAATATGTCTATTTGTTTACGGAGATCAGGGCGATCTGAGGGAGCAGAACAAGTCGTGAAAGAAACGGCACAATTGTAACTAACGAAACTATGTGAAGGCAATGAGTACTCATCCGAAACAGTCTGGTGATGATTATGCTGTGACACTAAGACGAGATAATCTGACAATACATCAACTTTGAATGATTATAATGCCAACGTCCTGGACACATGGCTACATATTACATAGAACCATGTGCTAAGTGTAATCACAGTCACATATACGAACATGTAAACATTAAACAAAAAGATTCGGAATCACAAATGCGCTTCCCATAGTTCGAATATTTGACGTCACAAACAACTTGTAGAATATATTTCTGTACAAAAACAAAGTCTAGTATAATCATAGTCAGAACGACTATGAAGTAATCTAAATGACAGATATACGAACACAAACTAGTAAACAGAAAAACTTGAAAGCCGGCAAATGAACCTAAATTGATACTCGTAATTCGAATGCCTGACATAAAAATATGCAAAATATAATTCTGCAACACAGTAAAGTAAGTTTGGCGATCATACATCACAAAATTGCTGGCATCGATAATAAGGAAAGGCTA